GGTAGCAGAAGGAGCCAGGAGTGACCTGCAGGCGCTGTCTCCTCACCTGGGGGCGGGAGATGTGGGCCAGGGGCCTGAGTGTGGGCTGGAGAGGGGCTGCTTTCTCCCCTGCCCGATCCGACCAGGGTCTGTGTTACTTTTGAAAAGGTGTGGGTGCCCATGCCCCCCCTCCCAGGGCCCTGAGGGAGGAGGGGAGGTCATTGGTCCCGTTTCCTGCCTCCTGGTTCCTCTGCTCCCCACCCCATGTATCATAGGGAACTTTCACCTCAAAATCTTTCTAAGCAATGTGTGAATAGGATTTTTACTCCCTTTGTACAGTATTCTGAGAAACGCAAATAAAGGACAATGTGTTTCTGTTTCCCCCGAGTCTGGCTGCTTCCTGGAGGGCCCCCGGGGAGGGGGCAGGAGATTGGGCCACAGCTCCTGCTGAGGCCAGTGTGCGAGCATCGGGACCCTCTGCCTAGATGGCAGCCGGGGCTCTGGGGCTGCGGCTCTTCCTGCTGCCGCCCTCCTGGGCAGAGCGAGTCGGAGGGGCTGGGAGGGAACTGGCGGAGGCAGCTGCAGGCCAGAGGGCAGGGTTCTGCTCTCTGACCTTGCTGGTTCCTCTGTCTGAACTTACACCTCTGGTCTCCTGGGGCTGGCTGCGCCGTGTTGTCATGGCCAGGAAGGGGATCAGTGACTCGTGAATGAAGCCGGAATCCCGAGGGGTGCCCAGTCCTTCCCTCAGGATGCCTTCCCCGTTCTCACTTCTCTTCCCTCAGTGCTCCCTCCCTGGGAGGACTGCATTTCCTCCTGGCCTTTCTGCCTTCAGGGGAACTGGTGCCTCCTCTCCCTCCCCCGAGCGAGCGTGAGTGGGGGGGTTGGGGAGGGAGGAGGTAAGCCTCCAAGATTTGTTTAGGCTCCCCGGGCCAGGAAAGGAGGGAGCCCTTTAGTGAGGGAACTCCGATCTTTGGGCTTCTGGGCCTTTCATTGTGCACTCTCTCTGCAGAGCCAGGTGCTAGGTAGAAGGGAGGAGCTGCCCCGGGCAGTCTGGGCCCCTCTCTGGCTCTGGGCCAGCGTCAGTGTCCTTGGAGTGGGTGCCGGGAGGAGCGCGGGGTCTTTGCCCAAGTGCAGCGAGCGAGGCCCACACAGCGCTGGGCGGAGGGATACGGCCCCCTGGGCCCAGTGGTGAGGGTGGGGGTGCCCTGGGAGCTTCCATGCACTTGCAGGAGTGCAGTCAGGGTGAGGGGCTGGCGCACATCAACAATCACCGGCGGTCAAATCCTGCTCTGCCACTTAGTGGCCTCGTGGCCTCGCTTCTGTGAGCTTCAGTTTCTTCCTCTGCGCTGGAAGGATAATCCGAGTCGGGGCTGTTGGGAGGGTAAGCACAACACCCGGCACCTGGTAAGTACTTCATACGGGGTGGCCACGTTAGTATGATTCCTGTTGTTACTATGGCGATCGTCTCCTTAAACGTTGCTTCGTCCCAGAAGACAGGCCGGCCTCACTCGGTGGTTGTCTCTGAGGACTGGGGGGTGGGGGCTGGAGGCCTCTGCCTGGAGAAGAACGTGGGCGGAGAGCACAGGCGGAGGCATCGCCGGGAGGGCTACGTGGGAGCACGGGAGGGAGGCCGAGTCCTCCCTGCTGGCCGGTCTGTTCCCCTCAGCTGTTAGCGGCTTTCGCCCTCGGTCTCCAGCCCTGCCCACACAGCGTGGCATTTTGGTAGCTGGTTCCGGCTCGAGCGCCCTCCTCATATCCCTGGCACACCCACAGCCTTCGCCTGCTGGCGCTTGGATCGCGCTTGGAGGCCCAGTATGCCTCCTTCTACGCTGTTCTCCGGCCCAAACGCACCTCGAATACGTACCAGGGGAATACATAGATATCTCTCTGTCCTGCTCCGAGTCCAAGAGGCAGGAAGAGTTTCTGACTGCGGGCCTTATCTGCCTCCAGCCCGGCCAGAACGTGGCTTATCTGAACGCCCGAGAGGTGGGGCCCCTAGCCCTACCCAGCTTTCCAGTTCTTTCAGTTCCCTTCCCAGGGCCTCCTGAGACACGATGGCCGGCATCTGTGCAGGGATCTTACAGAGGGGATTCTCACGGCCGCCATTCCTGGTGAGCAGCTGAGGTGAGTGGCCCCTGGGATGGGCCTGTGGGTCCTGGGCATTGCCTTTCTGGGCACCCAGAGGAATTCCCAGGCTGGGAGTGAGCTGAGAGCTGGCCACCATGATGGGTGAGTAGGTGCCTGGGCCAGCCAGAAGGGACTTAGGGAAGGTGGCCAGAGGTAGGTAGGATGGGGAGGCGGAGTCCAGAAAGCCTGTGAGGGGTGTCCTGGCCCCAGGAGGAAAGCAGAGGCGCCTGAAGAAAGGGAAACAGACCTCAAGAGGAAGGAGTTGCAGAGGGAAGGAAGGGGAGAGAAAGAGAAGGATTTGGCAGGACACCTGGGTGGCTCAGTCAGTTAAGCATCTGACTCTTGATTTTGGCTCAGGTCATGATCTCGGGGTTGTGAGACTGAACCCTGCATCAGCCTCCACACTCACTGGGGAGTCTGCTTGAGATTCCCTCTCTCCCTCTGCCTCTCTCTCCCTCAAATAAATAAATAAATCTTAAAAAAAAAAAAAAAAGAAGGATTTGGAGGTAAGAGCACCTGAAGGGTCCCGTATGGTGGGGACAAAGAGCTCCTGCTGAGTAGAAACAGGGAAGGACCAGCTGTATGTGTCCGGTTGCACTGGTAAGGGGCCTATGGAGGGTCCCGCATGGGGAGCTAGAGAGGTACAGGGGCCAATTGTAGACCAGGAGTGGGTGAAGGGGAGAGTGGGTGGGGGAGATGCCCCAGGTGGGCTTTTGGGATTCATTTTATTTTACCCAGAGTAAAGGAACCCTTCAGAGGCTGACCAGTAACTGAAGAGACAGGACCTGGGCTACACAGGGCACCCACCCCCAAGCCACTCTTACACTCCATCCTTTGTCTCTTGTTTCCTTCTGAGGCCGACTTACCACTATCTCATTGGGAAACGGTTGGTAAGAACACCCATCCCACTGACTTGCAGAATACAGCAAGGGAGGGAAGCCCAGGAGTCAGAGCCAAGGGAAGAAGTAATCATTGGGGTTGGCAATGTGAGGTATGGCACCCCTTCCTGGGTCCTCTGTTCATCAACACTGGTGGGGCTCTAGCTGGAAGATGGTGAGCCTGCCTTCCTACCCCTCAGGCCCCTCTGAGCAAAGGGGCAACTCGGCTGTGGGAGATGGCAGAAAATAGGTCTCGCTCTCCTTTCCATTTGGGGTAATCACTGCTCCATCTTTCCTCCAGAAGTGTTCTCTAAAGGACAGAGGAGAATCTAACATTTGTGATGGTCACCCTCCTTAGTGTGTAGTGACTACCTCACTGTCTAGAAACAGGGAAGGCAAATAATTCCAAGTCCTGATTGTTCTAGAACTTTGGGTCTTCATTGAGCCCAGGCTGCCAAAGGTAGATTTAAAAACCTGAACCAATATCCCCCTCCTCCAAACTGATATTAACTTCTTTTTCTCCAGTTGGTCCAGGCACAATGTGGAGCGTATTTGAGGAAATCACAAGAGTTGTGGTCCAAGAGATGGATGCTGGAGGGGATATGATTGCTGTCAGAAGCATCCTTGATGCTGACAGATTTCACTGCTGCTCTCTGGTGAGGGGGAGGAGAAATTTCTGGGGGCACCAGTACCACAGGACAGACCTCACCCTGGAGGACATACTGGAGAGAGGGAAGGGCAAAGGGCTGTTTGATAAGCTGGGTTCTGAGCCCCAAGGTCAGTATGAGGAGTAAGAGATGGCCATGCACATGTTTAAGAAATGCACAAAAGATGTTAACTAACTGGAATTAAATAAAAACTTGAAAAAATGCACAAAAGAAATGCACAAGGGGCGCCTGGGTGGCTTAGTCGTTAAGCGTCTGCCTTTGGCTCAGGTCATGATCCCGGGGTCCTGGGATCGAGCCCCGCATCGGGCTCCCTGCTCAGCGGAAAGCCTGCTTCTCCCTCTCCCACTCCCCCTGCTTGTATTCCCTCTCTCGCTGTCTCTCTATCAAATAAATTAATAAAATCTTAAAAAAAAATGCACAAAAAAATATGCATGGGGAGAAAGGAAATTTCCCCTGTTCCTTTAGTGGAAATTTATTTTTATTGGAAATTATTCCTAAATTGTCTTCCTTTCCCATGTTTTCCCCTTTGTAAATAATTCACTTTTAGGGCACCTGGGTGGCTCAGTTGGTTACGCAACTGCCTTCGGCTCAGGTCATGATCCTGGAGTCCCGGGATCAAGTCCCACATCGGACTCCCTGCTTAGCAGGGAGTCTGCTTCTCCCTCTGACCCTCCCCCATCTTGTGCTCTCTCTCTCGCATTCTCTCTCTCAAATAAATAAAATCTTTAAAAAAGAAAAATTCACTTTTAAATTAGCTGAGGTCTTCTGGTGTGTTTATATGTTTATCATTTAGATGGATAAATAAACGGAGGCAGTTTGCTTAGTGGTTGAGAAAGGACACAGGCCTTAGAGCCGAGAGCACCTGGTTTCTAAGCCTGGCTCTGCCTTCTACCAGCTGGGTGACCCCTGGACAAGTTGCTTTCTCCCTCTAAGTCTGTTTCCTCATCTGTCAAATTGAAAAGACTTGCAAAAATCAAATGAGACAAATTAGGTAAATCATTTATCACAGTGGCTGTGCAGAAGGAGCATGCAGTCATAGTTCAGCCCCATCCTTCTGCTGCTGGTTGTTACCCCTCCTATTCCCCGGAGATCATGACTGAGTAGGTGACCAGGGCTCCCTAAGGACTTGCAGGATTTATAGAGGAGTCTGTTCCATTCCCCTGCCTCCCAACTCAGTTTTTTTGGATTTCAGAAGCCCCAGGGTAAGTGCTGTTGAACCCTCACTGGGAGACTTACTTCAGTGTCTCACACCTGAGGGTGAGGACTTTTCCGACTCACACATCTCTGCTACAGCCCCTCTGGATCTCACCAAGAGATGGAAGAGAATCTGAAGAGCACCACTGCACAGTTTCAGAGCACCTGCCATTTGCCAGGTACTGCCGTTATGTCACCAAGAGCAGGGCCCAGATTACTTGGAGGAGGTGGGTCTTTCCACAAGTGGAGTTTCGTTAAGAAAGCGAGGGGCTTCAGGCAAACTTCAAGGTTATCATTTTTCAAAGACTCTGAGTTAATTCTCTGAGAAGCAAATTGCCAAGAGGCAATTTAATAAAAGCTGGTTCTCAAAAAAAAAAAAAAAAACACAAAAAAACCAAAAACCAAAAAACAGTTTGCTAAATGACCTGTTCATTGAAAACAGAAAAAAAACACTTTAAACTAGGATTCGGATGTTTTGCCATGACTCCCCATGGACAGGGGAGAGCGTTAAGTACTGAAAAAAATCAACTAAGTCAGTTAACTTCCTTTAAGGGAAAGTCTTGTCTGTTTGCATAAAAAATTCAGAGGCAGAGGTGAAACCAAACTTAAAAAAGAAAACCTTACAAATGAAAGATTATTTATTTTTTAACTATATGGTGCTGATGGTATGGTTAAAGTGTGCATAGGTTTTTGTTTTGTTTTGTTTTCCCGTTAACTAAAGTCCACATACTTCACTCTGGTTATCTTGGTTCTTACCTAATATCCTTTTTCTGTTCCAAGATCTCATCCACGATACCACATTACCTTTAGTTATCTTATCTCCTGAGGCTTCTCTTGGCTCTGACAATTCCTCAGGCTTTCCTTTTTGATGACCTTGACAGTTTTCGGGAGGACTGGTCAGGGATATTGTAGGATGCTTGTCTACTGGAATTTGCTTGATTTTTTTTTTAAGATTTTATTTATTCATTTGACAGAGACACAGCGAGAGCAGGAACACAAGCAGGGGGAGCGGGAGAGGGAGAAGCAGGCTTCCCGTGGAGCAGGGAGCCCGATGCGGGGCTCGATCCCAGGACCCTGGAATCATGACCTGAGCCGAAGGCAGACGCTTAATGACTGAGCCACCCAGGTGCCCTTGCTTGATGTTTTTTTCTCACGGCTAGACAGAGGCAATGGGTTTTGGGGAGGGAGACCATAGAGGTAAAGTGCCATTTGCACTGCGTCATAGCAAGGGGATGTGCTATCAACATGACTGATCACTGTTGGTGTTGACCTTGGTCACCTGGCTGACGTGGTGTTTATCTAAAGTTTCTCTCCTGTAAAGTTAGCCTTTCTCCCCCTTCTCCATACTATACTGTTTTTGTGCGTAACGTTTCATTTCTCTTTCCTCTTGGACAAGGTACATGCAGACTGGTACATTGCTCAAGAAACAAATGGGCCCGGACGTTAGAGTCACACACATAGGACTGATTTGAGGCACTGTTTCCAGTTCTGTCATGTTTCCACCAGTTCCAAAATGCATGTTTCTATGGAGATCCAGCCCTGCCCCCCACCCCCCAACCTAGCAGTAGCAGCTCTTCCTGCTCTGTACGTTCGCATCTGGGTGGTCTTAGAGAAAGCGCTAGGCCTGGTAAGCCAGGCCCTTATGGAAGGGCCTCATCCGTCTGGGCAGAGTCCGCACGGATGGGTGACTTTCCAGAATTGCTTGACTTCATACCTGCACAGGTTCGTACAAACGCCAGAGACTAGACTCTGCTTAGTTCCTATTGCCCAACTCCTAATTCTTTAGCTTTACTTTTCCTTGTCTCATTTCAGCCTCTTAAATAGTTAAATAGGACTGGCTCACATTTATTGAGCATTTAGTATGTTTGCAAGGCATTTTGCTAATAAGTGCTTAACTGCATTGTTTTATTTAATTTCCTCAAGTTCAGGAAGTAGGTACTATTGGTATTCTCCTTCTATGGATGAAGAAACAGATTCAAAGAGTGAGAGTGACTTATCCAAGGTCATTTGGTAAGAAGGTGGCAGAAGAGGTTCAAACTCGGGATTGTGTGACCCCGTGATGACTCCTGGTGACCACAGTGTTTCCTGGGAGCCGCAGCTGGAGGTGGCTCAGAAGGGAAGGGGATTGTGGAGGGGAGCCCAGGGTGGGGCTGCTCCAGGGAGGCTTTTCTGGAGAGAGATCTTTTGGGTCAGCCTCAGCATGACCTTTACCCTTCTCTTTCCAGAAAACTCCAAAGGCTGAGTTCCAAGTTTTGGACATGGTAGACTCAAAGGGAATGTTGACAGTGAAATTGCCCAAAGAAATAACAACTGTAGGGGCCTTCCACAGGTCCCACAAGCAGAGAGTCAAGATATTGGAGCCCCGGATACCCCAACAATATCTGGATTCTCTTGAGCACCGGGAGGCTGGAGTTGGGCAGCGTGGGGAGGAAGAAGGGGAGCGCCCATTTGGAGCACCGAGGGCATCTGAGGTGGAGGTGTCCTGGCCGGTGCAGACCCTCACACCCTACTCCCAACCCTCCCTGAGCCCGCTCCTCACTCAAGCCTGCCGTCCTCTTCCCCCTTCAGGAAGCCTTCTCAGTCTTCCTGCATCAGCCTCCAGGAAACCTTCAGACACCCCCAACTCACTTGCATCCTGCTAGCCTCCAGGGTGATTGATTCCTCCGACTTGGACCAAAACCTGCTGGTTTCAAGAGGCCACTCTCCTTTGTTCTCCTACTGAGTTGCCCAGATCTGTGCTTTGTGCAGGGCACTCCGCCTGTGGCAAGCCATGCCGCCTCCCTCGGTGGAGTACGAACAACTTGCGACCGGGCGGGACTGGCTTTACTAACTGCTGTGTTTATCCCCAGCGCGCAGTAGGTGCTCAGTAAGACAGCCGAAACGAAGTGCAATGAAATCAAAGCACCCCTGCACAGTACGTTTCCTGCACAGAGAGTGCCACCACCCCACCCCCGAGCGCCACAGAGGTTCTGATGGCCCTGGGCATGGTGCTTCCAAGGGACTTAACAGGGACATCACCAGCCTTCTCCCTCAGCAGGGACTTTGTTGTTGGTGTGGGTGTTTTCTTTCCCTGCTGAAGTTGTCGGAAACTATGGAGCAGCTCAAGGGAGGAGACTCAACCTTGCTCAGGGCTAGCCCTCCTTGAGTGTGGTGATGCCTTTTTTTTTTTTTTAAAGATTTTATTTATTTATTTGAGAGAGAGAATGACATAGAGAGCATGAGAGGGGGGAGGGTCAGAGGGAGAAGCAGACTCCCTGCTGAGCAGGGAGCCCGACGTGGGACTCCAGGATCATGACCTGAGCCGAAGGCAGTCGCTTAACCAACTGAGCCACCCAGGCGCCCCGGTGATGCCTTTTGTTTTCCTTTTTTAGTTAAAAAGTGAAAGACTTACACTGAAATTTTACTGGTCCTTTGAACTACCCCTCCCTACCATAGTGTTGCTGGGGAGGGGTCTTTGGAGTTTTTCTAAGGGAGCTCAGTTTTTTTCTAGAATGCCTGTTGTTTCTAGAATGAGGCTCTGTGGTGTGTGTATAAAGAATTGGGGGGAGGTTATTAGGTAGAGGGAGTTTAGCAGAGGCAAGGATGTAGGTCTTCCTTGAGGGTCTTTTGGTTGCAAATTTGGATGACGTTCCATCAAGCTATTTTTATATCCTTATGGAATCAAAGATGTCTTCTGGAGCCCAAGGCTGTGGACAGTGTGGCCAGGTCCCAGGGACCAATGTGAGGAATTGGAGCCCCATCTCAGAGAAGTGGGTGTTATGACCTGGGAAAATGCATGTCTCAGTGCCATGGGAAGGGCCCATGCTTTGGACTCATACAGACTAGGGTTTGAATTCCAACTCTACACTTATTAGCTGTGTGACCCTGGACCATTCACAACCTGTCTCTAGGCCTCAATTTCCTCATGAGAAATGGGTGCAGTTCTGCCTACATCATAGAATTGAGGTGAGGGGGCAGCGAAACGATGTGGGGAGTATCTCATGGTGCTGGCACACTGTAATCTTCCAGAGATGCTACTGAGTTCCCTTCCCACGTCCCACTTCCTTGCCCCATGGGTACAGTGAACTATATGATGGGGTGCCATCTGCCTTGGTTTTCCAGCCTCAGAGACACTCCATCTCAAATAGGAACTAGTTGAAGGAGAGGGAGAAATGTCACTGGTAGGTGGGGCTCCTGGGATCCTGAGCTCTAGTCCCCCCTCTGCTCCCTCCAGGAAGCTGAGGAGAAGACTCCCCACTTTGTTGCAATCAATCCGGAGAATGAGAGCAGACCTGTATCTGGTGACAGAGATTCTGGAGATGGCAAGGAAGGAAACCCTGAAAAGTGAACGGCTATGTACGTTGTGGAGCCGGGTGAACGCAAGGTTAGGACCCTGGGGGGCAGGGCCTGCGAGCAAAGCAAGCCTTGACCCACCCATGGTAGGTCAGGGGATGCCAGCCCAGACCTCAGGCTCTTCAGCTCTTCTTCCAGACCTCCCTGAGCAATCTCAGCTGCTCCCGGGCCTTCTTAGGCCTTCTCTTCTTGTTCCAAGAAAGTGTGTGTGGCATTGCTAAGTCCCTCCACTGTTACTCTCATGTGATGCCCTGTTTTCATTTGCTTCTCAGCGTTTCTCACGGTTCATAATTACATGGGGATTTTTTGCTTATTGTCTGCCTCCTTTTCTGAGAGATAGGAAGGCAGGAGCCACAGTGCCTGGAATAAAAAGGTCCTCAATAAACATTTATTGAATCAACAGTGGAAACGACATGAGTTTTGGGGTCAGATGTGGGTTCATATTTCAGCTCTGCTACTGTGTACACTGTGAAAGTGGCTTACCTACTGATCTTTTTTTTTTTAAGATTTTATTTGACAGAGTGAGAGAGAGCACGCGCCTGCGTGCATGAGCACACGAACAGGGGGAGGGGCAGAGGGAAAGGGAGGAGCAGAGTCCCCACCGAGCAGGGGGCCCAACTGCGGGGGAGCCCAGGACCCTGGGATCATGACCTGAGCCAAAGTCAGATGCTCATCCCATTGAGCCACCCAGGTGCCCCTACTGATCTGTTTTGAGTCTCAGTTCTCTCATCTGTAAAACAGGGATTGTTTGGGAGATCTAGCAAGATAACCACGCAAAGCACCTAGGGATTAATCAACATGAGCTCTTTTCTCCTAACACCAAAGGTGAGTGACCAACCTCCTAAAAGGGGTCCTGGGCTATCGAGTAAAGCAGCTCATCTTCCCCAGCCTGGGAAGAATGAGTAAGCAAGGCCTGGTGGGGGCAGGGGAGGTGGGGGGAGGTTCAGCTAGGCTCTGTGTCAGCCTGGAGGGGCCCTGGTGAGCTTGAAGGTAGGGGGAAGTTCCAGGGAAGGGGGAGGGCTCAGGGCTGGGTAGGAGGACTGACGCTCTTTGCTCAGACACCCAGGATTTGCCCCATCATGACACAAATCCTTCCCTAGCTAGAGGTGTTAATGCCTATCTCTTTCTGAGTTTGTTTGTTTTTATTTTTTGTTTTGGTGAGGGGCAGAGTGTAAGGATTGGGGAGAGACATGAAAGAGGAACTTACAGAGACAGAGAAAGAATTTGTCTTTCTGAGAATTGGTTCTCTCTCTCTCTCTGGCACTAGTTTAGATAATTTGTTTCTTGCAACACAAAAGCCTTCCAGAAGGTGAGTGGCTTCTAGGCCTTCTGTTCATCCTTCCAGAATGGGCAAGGATACTGATTTTTAAAAGAGCGTAACAAATGGCCCGGAATTATAGGGTTCTTAGGGTTGAGAATAGAATAGGGTGCACCCGGGGGTGGGAATCGTGGTGTGGGCAGGAAAAAAACCCTTGTTGGCTGGGTAAGTCGAGTTTTTTTTTTAAGATTTTTATTTATTTGAGAGAGAGAGAGAACACGAACAGGGGGAGTAGCAGAGGGAGAGGGAGAAACAGACTCTGTACTGAGCACAGAGCCTGACGTGGGGCTCGATCCCAGGACCTCGAGATCATGACCTGAGCCAAAGGCAGCTGCTTAACCGACTGAGCCACCGAGGTGCCCCAAGGGTAAGTCGAGCTCTTAATTGCTGTCTCTACAGGGAAGTCCTTGAGTTTAGAGGATTTCAGAAACATGAAGGAGAAGGAGCAGGACATGGTGAGAGGCCTGTAGGATCTGACTGAGAAGGAACAAAGAGATGTGATAAGCTGCCTCAGAGGGCAGTTGCCACTCTCTGCTAAAGTGGGACTGGTGCTCATTTCCCCATTTCCTGGCCCTAGGTGTTTGAGGTTCTGATCTCTGGGTCTAGACTCATCTAGAGATGGAGGGTCTAGCAGGTCTTCTCATAAGTAGCCTTTTCAATGCTGCTGGGTTCTTGGTAAAGGCACATACAGAATCCATTCTGGATATCCTGGATGCTTTGATTAGTGAGGAGGGATGTGGCTGTATGCTGGTGTGGAGGAATTGCGGAGCAGAGGGTCTGTGGGGATTCAAATCCTAGGAGGAAGGGGGCATACATTGCCTTTTACATTTTGTGCATGATAGACCTTCACATTTTAGAACATGGCCATTTTCCCTAGGCCAGGGATTAGGGGATGCCTCCTCTACCTCCTGGCACAGTCTGGCCTCCTGCAGGCTAAGAGGGAAGCAGGCGCCATAGCAAGAGCCCATTTGGAATAACTCATCTATCACTGCCAGGGGCCCTCTGGAACCTCCTTCTGATGCTTGTCCCAGGTCTGATGAGACACTGAAGCCCCGACCCACTGTGTGCTTCTCCTCTCTGCCAGCCACCCTCTTCACCCTCTTTTTTGCCTCCAGAGCGTCTGAGGAGCAGCACCTTGTGGCTGAGGCCCTAGAGAAGGGGACCCTGTCCCTGTTGAAGGACCAGGTAAGACAGCCTGGGCTGAGGGCCAGGGTCAGAGTAGAAGTGAATGGCCGTGCTCTCAAGGGACTCAGAAGTCCCCGGGTACAGTTCTTCCTACTTCATAGCTCTCTGTCAGCTCGCATCCATTCAGCTGGCCTGTGGCAATTCCCTAGAACACTTGGTTTCTAAGACAACTTGGGGTGGGCTTTTTAGACTCTGTTGCTAGCCTATGGGCGGGGGTGGGGGTGGGGTGGGGGGAGCTGTTAGTCCCAGGATGGCAGTGCCAACGCTGATTAGCAGTGCCTGTCACTATGTTGAGAGAGTATAAGGCTTTCCAGGATCTGCAGGAAAAAGTGCCATAATGGATTACTGCATCTGCCACCACCCAGGATTAAGAAGTGTGGCCAAGTATTTGCCATTTCTGGTATGTTTCCTTGTTCCTAGCTTTACAGTCTGGTGTGTTTCTTTCCAGGTAGATCTGTCCTGGAGCAGAACTGGAGTGAGCAGCCCCATGATATGGGCTGGGACGCCAACGCACGACTTCTCTGTGCCCTCTGTGTTGCTCTCTCCCTCCTGCTGCAGCTGGGTGAGAAGCCGACCTCGGTGCCTTCCTAACTATATGTTAGCCCTTGAACCATTCTCCCCACAAGCCTCTGGGTGCTCCCCTCTCAGGCCATCCCTGACCCCCAGCGCCCCGCCCCCCATCACCAGAACAGTGTCTTTATAACAAACAGCCAACTGTTTTTCAATACATCACTTCCCCTACATGATAATGTCCAAAAATCAGCCTGGATTGTATGCATGGGCTTCTGACTAGAAGTGGCAGATTGGTCATATTAATTTTCTCTCCCTCTTGAAACCTCACTAAATAAAGTAAAACAATAGAAAAGATGTAAACCCACAATGATAAAGAGAACGGGGCAGCAGATAAGAGATTCTAACACATCTTTGGAAACTAGAAGGTAATTAAAGGCATTCAAGCCGGGAGGTGTGGGCCTGAGGGGAGCGGGGAGTGTGGGAGGAGACTGCTGTTCTCTCATCATGAACGTTTTCTCTTTAATATTTTTTAAGACAAGGTAATTAAAAGTAAAAGAAATATATGCTTGTTGTGAAGTATTTCAAATATTTCTCAAATTCAAAGGTGATCTCCCCTTCTTCCTCTAATATAACCACTGTTAACAATTTGGGGCTACGTTAACAGTCTTCCTGTGAAGCAGTGTCTAAAATGGTAATTTAAACATGAAGCTAGGATGATATAACAAATTTGATTTCTGTCTTTGGTACTCGAGTTGTTTTTTCTTTTAGATTGGTAAAAATATTATATGCAACAGGAATTCTCATAAGTGCTGTTGGGAGTGAACTGCTTTAGAAAATTGTTTGACGGTATCTACTAAATCTAAACACATGCCTATGAGCCAGCCACTCCACTTCCTAGGCACATACCCAAGAGAAAGGAGTACATGTCTCCACCAAAAGACACGCATATACAAAAACATGAGCATAAGAGCCCCAAGCTGAACACTACTCAAATGTCCAATAACTTTAGGATGGATACATATATTGTGGCATATTTATGCAAGAAAAGAGAACCAATTACTGCTACACATAACAATATGGATGACTTTCACAGACACAGTGCTAAGCAGATAAATCCAGACACAAAAGAACATATTTATGTTTGAGTCCTCTGAGAGGCAGGTGCCAAAATAGAATTGGATGTGCAAAAGTCTTAGTAAGGGAAGAGCCTGTGAAGAATAAAGGGCGAGGGAGCAGGAATGGCAAGGCTTCAATGCAGGTCTAAAACCTATGAAAGGAGAGAAGGAGGGAAGGATTGAGTAGGAAGAGTCTCAGACTGTAGGGCACTTCTGAGAGTCTCTTTGCTCAGACCTGAGCAGAGGTGGTCTACTGGAGGAGTCCCCATCAGGCAGGATTGGCCAGGCTCTAATATCCACCCCCATGCTCAGCCTTTGGCTAGAAGCAGCCCAGGAAAGCTTGATCTCAGGAGGGAGATCTACAAGGCAGCAGGTAGAGGCTCTTAGTCAACTGTGCTTCCTGCAGCAGGTTCTCTTAAAGAAAATCCTCCATGACCACCACAATACTGTATGATTCCATTATATGAGGCTCAAGAGCAGGGAAAACTAAGTAATGGTGGTAGAACTCAAAATAGTGGTTATCTTAGTGTTTGAATAGTCTTAACTGAGAAGAGGCATAAGGGAATCTTCTGGGGTTCTGGAAATATATAAAGACTGATTGTGCTAACATTTAAATCAGTATACTTCACTGAAATATTTAAAAAAAAAAATGTTTCCTCTCAAATCCCTTTACCCTATAACATAGTCCCACTTTCTTTAGATAGTCACTAAACTTTAGTTCTTATTATTTATTTATTTATTTATTTATTTATTTTTAAAGATTTTATTTATTTATTTGACAGAGAGAGAGACAGCGAGAGAGGGAACACAAGCAGGGGGAGTGGGAGAGGGAGAAGCAGGTCTCCTGCCGAGCAGGGAGCCCAATGCGGGGCTCTATCCCAGGACCCTGGGATCATGACCTGAGCCGAAGGCAGACGCGTAACGACTGAGCCACCCAGGTGCCCCAGTTCTTGTTATTATTTAGTTTTAGTTCTTGTTATTATTACAACTAAAAATGATATTCTTATATTTGTTCTTGAGTTATTAATTTTAGATAGTATTTATTAATGTCCCAGTACTAAGGAAGAATATTGTGAAGAACAGACATTGAACAAGAAGTACAAACTAGGAAGAATGTTATTTAAAAAATACAGGGTACTTATGAAAGTGTTTAGTGAAAGATAACAGGGTGGTCCCCTCTTACCTCTGACATTGTCCCCTTCCCTCTTCCTTAAATTCGGATTCCAGCCACACCAAACTATTGGCCTTTTATTTGAACATCTACTTGTGCAATGACATGCTTGCCTGCTTATTTATTTATTTATTTATTTATATTTTGGGGGGGAAATTTTAAGTTATTTATTTATTTATTTATTTAAGTAATCTCTATACCCAATGTGGGGCTTAAACTCATGACCCCGAGATCAAGAGTTGCATGCTCTTCCAACTTAGCCAGCCAGGCGTCCCTACCTTTCCCCACCTTATCCGTCCTTTAAGCTACAGTTCAAATATCTCTTCTTCAGTAGTCATCCCAGTTACCCAAAGAATTGGGTTACTTCTTCTGTATGGCCCATAACACATTAAATACATCTCTACTATGGCACTCATCATATTGTACTGAAATTATTAGTACATATGTCTGTTTCACTGATGTGAAAGTTACTGGAGAACAGGGTTGAAATCTAACTTTTCTTTGCTAGGGCTCTGTAAACAACTGTTTTCTTCAGAAGTACCTTGGAGTTGGTGGAACATTTGGGAGACAGATCCAGAATTTCATGAGGCTGGCTCAACTTCAGAACTACCAATTGCCACTAGGAAATTTTGTTCTGTCCTCTCAAGGAGTCTCAACAAGGGACTACTTGTCTAAGGGAGATTACACTGACTCAGAAACTTGAGGTTCATATTTAATCTACGGATTTCCCTTATCTCACATTCCTGATTCCAATGTGAAATTCAATACATTAACTGCATATGTCTGTAAGGAATTTCCTGTTTCAGCAGCTGAAACTGTGATAGAGATGGCTTTGAAATGGGGGCAGTTGAGATAGTCATTATTTGAGCTTGGAGAGATGTGGGAGATTCCACTTACTCATTCTTCAGAACTCTTAGCTCAAGCAATACCCACTTCTGATAGTTTCTATATCTCTCCAGGCTGAGTTAGAGACTTCTAAACACACTGTGCTTACCCTTTTGGGGAAGGAAACCCTTTTGGAGAAATGCTAGTTAAGCTAGCTGGAGGTAGATACGATCCTATGGAGTTGGATGTCTTGGATAAAGGGGAAAACTACTTTGTAGGAAACAGATCAAGGAATTTACTGATTTTGCTCCTAAGATGGAGGAGAGGGACAGTGAAAGGAGAAAGAATGGAGGGAGAGAAGCACAAGCAAGATAGATAGAGGCTGAAACTATGTGAGGTAGTAAAAACTTCTAGATATGAGATAGGTGAAGAACATTCAAGAATGGTGATACCAAACTTGTTTCTGGAGAACAGGGTTTAAATCCAGTAAACTAGATTATTTGCTCTAGCTCTCCCATAGAAAACAGTTTAAAATGCTGGTTAAGATAATTTATTTTTTTAAAGTTTTATTTATTTAAGTAATCTCTACACCCACCATGGGGTTCAAACTCATGACCCCAAGATCAGAGTTGCATGCTCTTCTGCCTGAGCCAGCCAGGTGCCCCTGGATAAGATCATTTAAAACCATTCATAAAAATCATCAAATTGCTGACAAGAAGCTCAAGCCAAAATATAAGGAAAAGGGAGACCCAGGGAGATAAGTGAAGTATCAGAACACTAATGCAATTTTGCCCCACATGAAGGAGACTGAGATTTGCAAATCCAGGCAAGCTGGGGCTTCAGTTTGGCCAGCTTTGTGGATTGATGAATCCAGAAGTCAAGGCCAAGGACCCACTCAGGTGGGGAATCTCATTAAAGGAGATCTTTCCCATATTAAACTGGAATCTCAAAATGCTACATCACTGAGGTAAAAGTGAATCATCAGGAAACCCATACTCTTGCCTCACCTGCAGGGGATAAAGAGAAGACTCTTGGTACTGAGTGAAGAAGAGGTTAAAAAAAGAAAGAAAAAATTTCTGAAATATTATGGCCATAGACCTGTGTTTTCAGAGAACTCAGCCTGGATTTGCATCATCTGGGTATTTCAGAGAATCTCAAATTGCAAACTTAGTTTGCGAGGGTCCAGGATTGGTTGTGTCCCTAGATGTCAGTCAGAATTAAACACAAGTCTTTTCTGGAGGAAGTCATCTTCATTTCCACAAATAACTTTTTAAAGAAAATGAGTGGTAAAAAATATCAAAGCATATAAAGAAATGACAAGAATAAGCAGAAACAACAAACAGCAGAAAGAGGATATCATTATTGGAATTATTAGACTAGATTATAAATATATGCTCATTACATTTAAAGAAATTTGAAAATGAGCTTGATAATACCAGTGGCAATAAGAAACTATTAAAAAGTCACCTATTGGGGCACCTGGGTGGCTCAGTTGGTTAAGCGACTTTCTTCGGCTCAGGTCATGATCCTGGAGTCCCGGGATCGAGTCCCGCATCGGGCTCCCTGCTCGGCAGGGAGTCTGCTTCTCCCTCTGACCCTCTTCCCTCTCATGCTCTCTGTCTCTCATTCTCTCTCTCTCAAATAAATAAATAAAATCTTTAAAAAAAAAAAGTCACCTATCATATTTGAAAAGATATATATCTTATAGAAATGAGAAATTTGATCCTACATTAAAAACATAATACGTAAAGAATATATTGGATGTAACTGAGGAGAGAGTGAAATTGAAATCGGAAAATAATACTCAAAATATAGAGAGACAAAAGATGGAAAATATGGAGTGAGGTCAAGAGACATGGAGGATAGCATGATAGGTATTAAATATGTTTATGGGGCGCCTGGGTGGCTCAGTCAGTTAAGC